AGAAAAGAAAGGAACAAACATGCCAGAGATCAATGACGTCGTGGAAGGACGTCATGGAGGCCATACTCAAATTATCACTTTCCAGAATGCATCTGACCACTATTACGGGGAGAGGGAAAGGTTGCTGTTTTTTCTTCTGTTCTCCTTTTGTTCTTTTCTTCCTTTCCCTACCAGCAAGGCAGCGCATATTCCTAGTGCTCAAAATGCCCTCGCTGAGGGCATAGGGCCTCGTTAGACACTCCTTGTGGACCCGAAGTGCTCGTTCCACCTGTCCTTGGGGACGATTCGCGAAAAAAAAAATGAAAACAGCACAAGGAAATTTCCTTGTGGCGTCCTTGTGGCTACAGCCAATTTTTCCTAATCCCCAAGGGACCTCCCGAGGTCCCTCGGAGCTCAAGGAAGCGCGAGATTCGGAGCGGCGAAGGCATGCGTCGACGGAGGGGAGCCCGTCGACGAGGAGCAGGGGTCGACGAAAGATTCGACATTCAGCGCGGGGAGCGCCGGCGGTTCCGGGAAAAGGAAGAACATGCGGCAACAAACCTTTGAGGCCGTCGCCGACGTCATGGACAAGCATGGTGCGCTCATGGCAAGCACGATGGACAGCGCGAGCAAGCGCACATGCTCTATGATGTTACGACAATGCGAAATTCTTGAGAGCGCAGTGGAAGTGCAGAGGAAACATTATGCTGCGGCGGATGAGGCGAATAGAATGATGTGCAACGCCCTTATGGAGATAGCGAAAGCCATCCGCGAGAGATCATGACGACACTGCTGTTTAGTGTCGTTTTACTGTCCTGTCTCTCCGTCTACTGCGACTGCGACGATGTCGACCTCTGTGTGTGTGTGTGTGTGAGGAGGGGGGGGAGGGATGCTCGCACGATCATTTGTGTGCGACGATTTGAGAGACGTCCAGTTGATGGTTTTTTAGATTTTGTGTGTTGTCGGCATATGATTAGCAGTTCCTTTCTTTTGCTTTTTGTTCTTGATCTTCTTCATATTCCAGGAGAGCGCTTCGTCTGTGTTTGGCGATCTCGAAAGCGACAGAGCCAGGTGTAAAAAGGGTTCGGTGGGTTGGGGATTGTGGAGGAGGGGGTGGTCTCAATGGTCGGTAAGAGGGG